TTGTTCTGAGGGATTTGCTTTCCTCATTGTATTACAGATTTGATGCTTCTTAGCAAAATCCAGAAATGGGAAACGACAAGCCTTGCTGCGTTTTGGTTTACACACGCTGTAAAGAAAATGATCCCGGAAATGTCCAGATTATGCAGAAACATCTAGCACAGTGACAGCATGCAGCTCTTCTTCCGAGGGCCATTCTTCTGAAATCGAAATCGCACGTGCATCATCTCACCACACGCATATTATTACACAGCAAACAACGAGAAATCAGCAGTCTCAATCTTCCAAACAGTTTTTTCACCTTCATGCCTTTATAAACAGTTTTTCACCCACCTACGGTGTCCTGACAGAAGTAAATACAGGCAATGTAAACAAAATCATTTATTTTCTGTTCTAATGTAATCCAATAAATGGTAGAGGGAGAAAAGTGTGAGAGAGAAACAGGAAAAAACCAACAGAGACACAGGAGCAAACACTGGAACACAAACTCCATCTGGATTTTATATACATGCCCTCTACTGCCCCACCTCCCCCTGCCCACCCTCTAATAACATGCAGTATGTGTTAAACTGTACATCAAAGACAAACTGGTATATATATATATATAAAAAAAAGAACACACAAAATCAAACTTGCAAAGCAAATCTACTCCTCTTCATTTTTATTTTTGTTGTGGTACCATACACCATAAGCCTCTACCCCCCTCCCCCACTTACACCTGATTTCCTTTTTGGACAGAAATAAGAAGAAACAAATAAGCGATATGAAAAACACGAAAGATGAGTTTACTCTGTGAGTTACCTAAAACGCATTAAGGTGTTGGGGCTGGTGAAAATAAAGGTCGGATGAGCCATCTGTGACTCAGCCTTTCCCTAGATAAGAGAAACAATGACTAAATACATCACAGGTGCTGACATGTTTTTCTCTGCTTTCACATAGAGAGAAAAAAAATCCCCAAAACATTAACCCAGGTAGACAGTTCAGAGTTACTAAAAATGTGTTTTCAATCAGTCTTCGGCTTCTGAATGATGAGTGGTTGTCGAGAATGCATTAGCCGATGACTTTTGAGTCACATCACTGCGGGCTACACAAACAAATGCTGGGCACCAATGGCAACCAGCTAACCATCCAGTCAGGTTACATCAGTATCACTGCGCATGGTACGTGACCTGAGCACCTGTTGTCCAGGATAACTAAATCGTGTGGCCTGTGTAGTCATAAGACCCATAATAAATACGTCATAAATTCTCCGTGGGACCAGACACTCGATGTTGACACAAAACAAAGTGCGATGGCAAGCACACTCAGGGCAGAAGGGATGCCAAGCAGGATGAAGGAGCGTGGAGTCAAATTCCCACCACGTCTGGAAAATAATTGCACACACCAGCAACCAAAGGCACACTGGGTACTTGCACTCAACCAAGTACACGTAATCACGTGTGATCATGCAGTGTAAAGTTTCTAGAATGAAAAGTGAAAAGTGACTTGAATGGCTTAAAAGAATGCAAATAAGCTGTGCAAACAGCGCCTCTGTGTGGTCACTCAGCTTTTGGCATGGAAGAGAAAGTACTTGAGGTAACAGGTCAGACTGGGAGAGGCTGGCAGAGCTGTGGATGAGAAGCTCATTGACTTTCAGGTCTACCTCCTCCACAGCCTTGCAGCTATGTGCACAAATTAAGCTATCACAATATGTTTTGAAACAGTTACAGCCAACTAGAATAATACAATCCCAACTCTGAAAATGTTGGCATGATGTTTAAAACGTAAATAAAACCAGAATGCAATGATTGGGAATCTCATAAACCCACATTTTATCCACAAAAAACACATAAAACATGTCAAATATTTATACTGAGAAAATGTAGAACTTTAAGAAAAGTATTAAATCGTTTTTGACACTTTTCAAAACAGCTGGCACAGGCCTGTGTTTTTACCACAGTGTAGCTTTGCCTCATCTTTTAACAACAGTCTGTAAAAGCCTGTAAACTGAAGAAACCAGCTGCAGGCTTTTGGACAGGGAATGCTGTTCTATTCTTGTAATATAGGATTCCAGCTGCTGAGACTGAGAGCTGATAACAAGAGGTTCACATTTCAATTTGAAATTTGATCGGTCTGATTTCAAAATAATGTGTCTGACCATAGAACAGTTTTCCACTTTGTCTCAGTCCATTTAAAATTAGCCTTGTTCCACAGAAGATGGCAGTATTTCTGGATCATCTTCATATTTGTGGATTGTGTGCCAAATTCTGTTCACATAGTTTGCTATACCATCCACACCGTAACATTACAGTATCATCACTACTATCTGCTGTACCATTCACAGCCCATGCAGTGATTTCCAAAACACAATACAGGGTTTTAACTTCAACTTCATTGCCCTCCAAATCACAGCCATTCAAGTGCTGATTGTCTGGCTTGACCTTTGCGCACAGAGATTTCTCCGGATTCTTTGAATTTGTGTCAGTTAACTTTTTTTTGCCATGTTCTATTGTGAATAAAATATGGATTTATGAGATGTGCTAATCATTACATTCTGTTTTTATTTACATTTTACACATTTTCACATATTGGGGTCGTAACAGGTTTGTGTTTTTCATCATTTCAGCTTCTCTTTTCAGACTGGTTAGTTTATAGAGAGAATTTGCTTCTTTCATATATGGTTGTTATTATTAAAATGTTTAGCTTTAGCTTATTTTTTATTATAAAGGAACAACACTTAAGAGGGTTAAAATTCCTCTTTATTTTTGTGTTGACAAATTCAACCAAGCTGTTAGAAAATTATGTTTTTAGCATTTCTTATACAAATATCCTTCCCATTTTGGGATTTTTCTAAAGCTTTGGTTTTACTACATTTTTTTCACATCTAGTTTTCATTTGGTTTTGTGAACTGTATTCTTGCATCCAAATACTCATAAATTCACTTTTAAGTATTTGATTTCCGCTAACACAAGAAACACAAGGGGACTTATCCCAGGGGAATGAATTTCTCCTAGTTATTTGGACCTTTTACATATAAAACTGAGCATCAGCTTTGAACATTAAAAAAAAAATAAATCGGTAAGTCTTCATGAGGGAAAAGGAAGCAAAAGCAAAATGAAGTATAAGGTGCTTAAAAATCAAACTAGAAAGTGTCAAATTTCATATTTAGTATGTTAAGTTCTTATGTAAATATACAGTGATGGGCATAAAGGTGATATTATTATCATTACCATAGTATTGATACAGCGTATTTCATGTAGAAGCTGTAAATGTAATTTGTTACTCAGTGAAGATTTAAATGCATCAGAAAAAAAGTTATTATTGATGATTTAGTTTATCCTCATAAAAAACTACAAAAATGTCTGGTGCCTTTTGGCAATATTTCCTAATGACCATCATTTACAAACCTGTAAACTGATAGTTTGTTTGTTACAGTTAAATAATCAAACAATAACCTTCACTCGCTGATTAAAAATGATTTTGTTAGCTATATATGAATTTTATCTAGATAACTATTCCCTGTGTGGAAACTGGTGTTTTATAAAACTTGTAAATGGCTAATAAATACAGTGGATTGCAAATATAAAAATATTTCATTTCTTACTCTAAATTCCAACAGATTCTTCACATACCTTTTTTTAAGGGGTCTATAAGCAGGGAGGTGAGGCGGCATTACAAAACATTACAAAACCTGTGAACCTGGAGATTTTTGTCCTGTTTCACTAACTGCCATCATCATGAAGTCTGATTATTGTCATGTCACACTTGGAACCTGAAGGACTCACTGTGTGGAGATTTCAGCAGTCAGTATTTGATGTCCTCATAATTTTTTAAGTTTACTTGATTAAGAAAGTAATCATGATCTAATTTAACAATTTTGTATTTAAATATAAGGGAGGCGTGGTAGTGGTGGAATGGTTAGCACTCTTGCCCCACAACAAGAAGCACCTGGGTCCTTTCAATGTGCAGTTTGCATGTTGTCCCCATACCGGGCTTCTCTCTTGATACCCCTTCAAAGTCCAGATACATGCATGTTAGGCTAATCAGCAATTCGAAACCTGCCGTGTGTGTGAATGCTGAGCGGTTGTCTGTGTTATCATGCAGCAGACAGACTGACAACCTGTCAAGGCGGTACACCGCCTCTCGCCTTAGCTGTGAGTGGCCACATCACCTTTGTGATCCTAAATCAGATAAGCAGCAGAAAGTAAATGGCTGGATATTAAATATTAAAATATACAGTTTTTCTAGCTCTTGTTTCTATTATGGTTAAATTTAAAACCATAAAGTTCAATGTATATGATCTGTCTTTTAAACAATCCAAAAAAGCCCTTTTATTTATGTTGTAATCAGTAAATCATTTCTGATTTAAATCATGACAAATCTTTAGACTGGGATAACAAACCTGAAGGGTTATGAGAAGAGGAAAGGGCAGATTATTAACATTCTTACTTTTTGCCTGTGAAAGAACAAACTAGAATATAAATCGAACATCAGCTGAAAGAGAGCTCTGCTGGCCAATAATTTATTCCCGACTGCTATGCATCACACGCAGTACTGTGGCAAATACTGAGCTCTTAAAAAAATGTAGCTGCTAGCGGGACACGTGATGCATCCCGGATATGTCTGGCAGTATCGCTCTCTCTCACTGCCATTTGCTGCTGAAGTGATACAAAGGTGGAAAGCAGAGGGAGGATGTGATTGGAGAAGCTGGGTAGTTGTTTAGAATTAAAACTCTCCAAAAATCACCTGTCACACTGTGCTGCCACCTGGGGAGGGTTCTTGGGATAAGCTGAGGCCACGGTAGGCTCCTGTCAATCAGTTTTTACTGTAACGGCCAAACAGCAATAGGAGGATTATTTATTTATTTATTGACAGACTCCACCATCAATAAATAATGAGAACGGAGAGCAGTCGTGACTAGCTCTGCACGCATCTAGGAACTCATACCACTCAGCTTTAAAAACAGGCTCATAGCTTCAGAACAGCACTGCATTTAGGGAGAAAAAAACCTGCTCCCAACAAGAAAGGTTTCATTTCTGATTTACTGTCTTCACAATTTCACCACAAAAAGAAGAAAGCAAAACAGGGTCAGGTCGCATCTCAACTGCTCATCATATCGGCAGAAAATCTATTTGAAAAAGAGGCTGAAAACTCCTCTGAAGTTAGACTGACTCAAATTCCAATTGTTCCTCTTCTGGTCTGACTTCTCTCTGCTTGTTAGCGTGTCATTCCCCTTGGCAGCCACAGGGGGCGCACTGGTTCTGCTCACAGTGCTTGGCAGGAATGGCTGGCTCCGAGCCTTTTTTCTGCAGGCAGGCAGAGGGATAGCATTAACACTTGGAGCAGTGACAGTACCTACCTCAGGCATACAAATGATAATACTTGGAAATACAGCTACTGTATGATGTATCCGCAGAGCAGTAACTCAATCAATATCTATGCACCCTTCTTCCTTTTTAATAAGTAAAAGGAACATCAAGGTCAAGGTCATAGCCACGCCTTACAAAGAGATGTTGAGATACATGTCCTGTTGTCACTGTGCCACTGGGTGTCAGTGTGGTGACATTCTGATAAAGACCATCAAGCATGAGTTGAACAGAGTGTAATCACTTTTTATCAGCGTTCCCCACCCGTCACTCATTCTTTTTTTATCTCCCAGCTCTATTCACCTGGGTCTGTCTACGAGCAGGCCTCACAGGTTGGTTGTCAGGGTGGTTAGGTGCCCACGGACCCAGGCTCTGATTGGAGTAGAAGTCCATGGGGTAGACCTCCTTCCAGCCCACCTCTTGCAAAGCAACAGCTGCCTGAAAGATACCAAGAAATACAGATGGCGAGACAGTGACAAATCAGAACCAAATCAAAAAAGGACAAGAAACGATGAGCAAAAGGTGCAATAATGGCACCCTCCAAGGTGTTATGGTACATGATTCCGCTGATGTTCACTGTCACCTAGTACTGTATCTGCAGTTTCCAGCGTTTTGGACAAACAAGCAGCAGGAAATCAAAGAGTGATGAGAAGACACAACAGACTGACTATACCGACAAGACAGGTGTCATAATAATAAGCTTGGATAACAGGCAGAGTTGTCATGTTATCCCTATGCAGCTGCACTGAACGCTACAACAGCTGTTAGAGAGGAACAACAACAGTGGCATGACAGAGCTGTGACTTAAGTGAAGACTGCTCCATATGGTAGAGAAATGCCTGTGAATACTGATTCCGAACGAAAGAAAAAGCATACATAACAAGCGTTCTGAATGAAAGAACAAATCATTTGACTGTTCATTTATTCATTTATCCGAGTACTCGTTCATCTTTCAAGCTGTTTAGATGCCAAGACCTAACTTCAGCTTTGAACTATTTGGAATAATTCCGATGATGTATGGAATTATGATGAGAAAACAAGTCATAGAAATTTTATAAAACTCCAAATACACCCGTTAGAGAATTTAGTTCAAAGGAGACATGAAAAATTCAGCTTCAAAGTGATGAAATCTTTCTTCTAGTGCGACATAATTCATCACTTGCGCAGCTTGTGACTGTCGTTCGTTAGTATAGCATGCACCCAAACCGACAAGACAGTGTTCTGTTCTCTTACGCGAAGGCTGAAGTTTCCTGAATAAAACCAGAAGTAAAAACACTGTTTTTCTTTAAAAGAAAGTACTGGAAACTTAATAAAGCTTCTTTCTCTTTTAAGATATAATTGCATCCCAGTTATGTTAACCTGTTGTAAAAAAAAAATATCTCCTAAATATATGTTTTTCAGGCAAAATAACTTTCTTCATATCCAGATTTTAAAACACAATCTATCAGAAAATAAAAACACTACAGAGTAACCATCCCTTCCTTTCTCCAGGCAGCCTTCTACCAGAGTCTCCTCCTCTCGTCTACCCCTTATTCAATCACTTCTCTCTCTTTTCCCCACTGCTCTCGTTCCCCTCTCACACCAACTGCCTCTCTCTGTGGAAGCTAGCTTCTCTTGCTAATCCCTGCTCTGACAGGAGAGCCAAGTGTGTCTTATTGACTATAAATATAACATGAGACGCACTGAAAATAAATCTCCTTGCTCACTTCACCCTCCCATCTCGTTCCTCTTCATCTTCCTCCTAAATGCCACAGTGAAAAGCATAGCGCACCGAGACGTGTAACACTCATAGGTATGAGATGCGGGTGAATTAAGACTTATCACAAGCACACATACACAGACACAAGAGCAGCACCAAATTATTTAAATGCACAAACATCGTTCCCAAATAGCTGGCGGGGAGAGCAAAGCAAACTGTAGCACAAAGGGCTTAAGAAAACAGATTGCTGCTTTCCTCATTACAGCACGCACCGTTATAGACCTCAGTCAAAAACAATGCAAAATAACCATTACTTCTTCTTCTAAGGTGAATGCTATCATTATTCTTAATGGCCCCGTTCTGAAATGTAAGTGCTTTCACGTTGTGTGCGGCGCACAAAGATGTGTAGTCTGAATATAACAGCAACCATTTCAAATCACAATCCAATATTCAAGACAGCAATTCCCCTTGCAGCCATTTCAGTATTCAAATCAGTGGCATACGTCTGAGGAAAAAAAAAAACCCGGTGAACGAATTAATAGTTGACTTCAAGTGCTAACCAGTGAGGTCACATAAAAGCATAATGTGACATAACTGCCAAGCTCATCACAAAACAAGCCTGCTTTTTTTTTTTTGCGACAACAGCTGCAGACAAACAAACACATGTTTTGAAATGGATCTTTATGGGATGCTGTCCGATCCATTTCTCTCCCTTTAGAAAAACAAGCTGAAAGGGGTGGGGAGTGTCTATATGGTTCTGCAGCCAGCAGGGGGGGCTAGTCTGCTACTGATGGTGTTTTATATGCGTGTGCTGGTGTGCTTTATGGCAGGGAGAGGAAGAGGGAGGAAGAACTAGACATAATTCTTCATCTCCAGCACAAGCAAGGCCTTGATGAGTCTTATACAACGTGAAAAATCACTTAACAATGTAACTTTCTCCTTCTGCACTTTGATGAAGGCTTCAACACGACATCAGTCAGGTTATGTGCAGACAGGAAGGTCTGTGTGTGTGAAATGTGTGACACTTGTATGAAAAGCGATTAGCGGCTTGTTGAGAGGCTGTAAGGTTGATGCTTACCTCATATGGAGAGAGAAGGGGTTTGGAGAAGGCAGTGCCCCAGTCGATAGAAAGGCGTGGACAAGCGATCTGAACCCACCTGTAAGGAGTAGGTGCAAATTTTAGCTCAAACGTACACCTCAGAATCAGTACAAATGCGAGTGTAACAGTTAAGCAATAATGTTGAGAGACTAAGATCCTATTAGACAGGCAGAGCACATCTACAACTCCACACTGCATGTGGGTACGTGATGCAGTGGGTTAGTGCGAGGAGACTCCCTCCACCTGACCTCCAGCATCTGTTGGAGAGATCTGTCCTGATTTGCAACAGTTCTAAAGACAGCCATGCTACACCATCTGAATGCATAGTCAGAGGGAGGCTGAAAAGACAGGGATGAAGGTTTCAAGTGGTCTAGTGGTGCCGACTGGTTGCAAGAAGCAGAAACAGAGAGGAAAATAAAATACTGCAAAAGATGCAAACAGGGGTACAAAGAAATGCTGTGAAAGAAAAGAGGAAGAGGTTAGGTGAGTGTGAATAAAAAAGCCGCACCAGCCGGTCTCCACGGAGGTAGCCTACATTGCTCGCAGACAGGGTGGCGGAGGGATGGGGTGGGGTGGGCGTAGGTTTAGTGGTGAAGCGGCTGTGTATTAAAGAGATGGGGAGGGGGGTGGGAAAAAAAAGAGAGAGAAGGACACAGATACAGAGAGATAGGGAGAATGAGCAATGAAGATGAAAAACCGGAGGGGGGGTTGAAGAGGCGCAGGCAAGAAGAGAAGACAGAAGTGAGGCAGAAGAGAGGAAGAAGACAGGCAGGGAGGAACGTGTTTACTCTGGAAAATGCATGGGAGTAGGATGAGGAGGGTGTGTGGAAGTAAACAGCTGCAGGGAAAACTGAACAATGGGAAAATGGAGACGGAAAGTGGCTGGGGCTACGGGGGGTTAGCTTTCACAGATCAATGCTATTCACAGCTCCGTCTCTACTGAGGAAGCATAACATTCCCTGTCCCTAATCCTTATGATGAAGATCCATCAGAATGATTGATAAATATAAAATGAACTGCAGTGTATATAAAGACTAATGATAGGTAAACGTCAATAAGGACACACCAGTTTGAGATTTAGTTTGTGAGTGCTTGACTACTTTCAAATATATGGTACTGCGTCAAATTTCCTTTCTGTCTTTCCCTCATTTTCCAACTTTCACACAGTTTCTCAGCTGCAGAATTGATTGCACCGCTGACGCTCACTCCACACTCTGCTTTCTGTCACAGAAATATTCCACCCCCTCTGGGCAAATGCATGGCATTTTCTCATTTTCAACTAACACTTAAAAAAAAAAAAAGAAGGAAAAAAAGGCTCCCCCCAAAGAGTGAATTCTGATTCATCCTCCTAATTTGAGAGCCAGCTGAGTCAGAGACATTTCAACCAAGCACCAATCTCCTCAGTCCTAAGTTGGCCAAGTTTAGATGGAGATTGGAATCTGAAATGTGACCTTTAGGTCTATCAGCCGCTATTCATAACCTGAGCCTCTAAACAGACAAACACTGCACGTGCATCAAAGCGGCCTTAGTGCAGGAAAACAGTGGGGGAAAGGGCTAAATATAGGAGAAAAACCAACAGTTTGTATATGTGTGTTTTTATATGCAACATGTTTTTGAATATGCAAATTTGCAGTGCAAGATTAAAAAAGAACACTGGAAGTGATAAAAAAAAGAGGGAGGGTGATTAATAAGCAAAGAGTAAATCCTCAGGGCTAACTCAGTGTAGAGAGGGAAGCAAGACAAAAAGCATGAAAAGGGAAGGAAGAAAGGATTCGTCCTTCATAGGGAGAAGATAGCTGATTGGCACATGAACTGAGGCGGGACTTAAAAGTGTTAGCAATGAGACTTTCTGAATGTTGCAGTGTGATAAGGTGCATAGTTCCACTGTATTGTTCCTTAAAAGCAGTGGAAACAGTATTTGTAGCCGATATCTTTGAAATCATTTTAGCAAGTGTGGAAGAGAACTGGTATCATCATGACGTACAGCAGGGGTGTCAAACTCAAATACACAGTGGGCCAAAATTTAAAACTGGAACAAGGTCGCGGGCTAACATTAATATTCGTTGAAAAAAAGATCTTCCTCCAGATTTAAGAATGAATCTCTTCTTATGGACTCAAACAAGTTTTGCTGAAAAACTGAACATGGAACAAGCAAAGCTTAATACTAAACAATATATATATTAGCTGTATAATACCGGTAGGCCAGCTGTAATAATAATTTGGTATGGCTTCGTGGGCCAAATGTAATCAGGCTGCGGGCCAAATTTGGCCCGCGGGCCAGAGTTTGACACCTATGACGTACAGTAAAACACAAAGACAGGAGAGTTACACAGACACTGGAAGAGGTGGGCTTTTGTCTCATTTGACCCTTGTTTCACAATTTTCTCGCAAACCAAGAAAAATCCCCCAAACAAACAGTGGAACAGACTGTGGGCGGGGTGTGGTTTGTAGCTCAGCTGCACGGGAGGGGTGGAGCAGTGGGTTTAGGGTGTGGTGTCAGGGGAGGCTGACCTACAACGCTGTTTTCCATCACCTGGTCATGCCTTCCCTATTTTAGTAGGATGCAGGGACCTGACAAGAGAGCTGTGTGCTGTAAGGGGACAAGGCAGCGCAAAAGTTGCGCAAGAAAAGGAAGTATGGCAAATAAAAGCACCCATGTTGTGTGCCTTGGGTACTTCATACCACAATGGGGCCAAAACCCGGTCCGGTGAAGGATGATGGACCAGCGTCTGGCATAGCCATTGGAGGGGCTGGCCCATATGGTGGTGAAGCTAGCTGCCATGCATATGGAGCAGGCAACGGTGCACTGGAAACAGTTTGACCAGTTGCAGCACCTGGCCGAGCACTGGACCAGAGTGTTGGAGGATCTAGTACCACAGTGGCCAGCAAGGTACTTGTGGCAGGAGCTCGCACCGGAAGACCATTGCTGCCATTTCCAGGGAGACCTGATGAGGCTAGCAGATCTGCCCTCGCCAGGTGGCTGCAGCCTGGCCCAACCAAAGGAGAGGCATCGCTGCTGGATATGATCATGCTCTAGCATTTCATGAAGAGGCCCCCAGTAGACACAGCAGAGTGGGTCCGCTACCACCGACCAGTCGGCCTGGTGCGGTGACGCATGTGGAGGACCACCTGTCTGGGCAGCTGAGAGGATTGGTGGGGCAGCTGAAACCAACCAGTAGTTGGCTGGTCCCGGCTCCATGGAGGCAGCTGTGGAATGCATCACCATCGAGGCCCGCCACCAGCATCATCTACCCTTCACACCTGTCTGTCTCTTTGCAGGTCCCACCGGCTAAAGACGGCACACCTCACTCACCGGGAGCTGCATGAGGATCAGGGCAGGACTGCTGGAAGTGTTCCGTGTCGCCGGCCCTCCAACTCACTCCCTCGGCCAGGCTATGGTGGACTCAGGCTACATACAGAACCTGGTCAACCAAACCCTAGTTTGGCCCGGGGCTTTGCTGGAGGCAAAGTGGGTGGAGGTTAGGTGTTTGCATGGGGACATGCACAAATATCCCATAGAGCCACTTCAAATTAATTAATTCTGGGGACAGGTTGACTTTTTAATAACCTTTTGGCATAGCGTGTGAGGATGCGTTTAAGGCCTTTAGAAGAGTGTAATGTCTTTGACCATGTGATAAAAACTGATGATTACATGGGGCACCCTGAAGCAGCGCTGACCTACCCGCATTTTGTATTGATTAAGCATAGGCTTTATCGAGTTAGTCGTGACACCCTCACGGAAGAGGAACACACCCAGTTGTTGGTGCCTAAAAGTCACCAGGAAATTACTTTCCAGGAGGAAAGTGCTTTGAGTCTTTCATACCACACAGACTTTTGTGGACAGTTGTTTAGTCAGCCTCTCTCAAAATGATCTGTGTGCTCTAAAAAACATGATGCTTTCATTACAACACAACATATAAAGTTTAGAGGAGCAGCATACAAGTAATGTATAAAGGTAAAACTGCCTGACATTTAAATCTGGATATGCTATGTGAGCTCCAGCCTGAGTTCATTGCATTACCCACTGTGGCCCATTACACCGCAGCCTCCCTCCACCTGTGTGGCTCTGCTTCAATTACACTCACAAACTTGACCTGCCAAGAGCAAGAACAATTAACCTTTCAGAACTCCAAGGAGAGAACAATTTCTTCACCTTTGATTGCAAACTAGCTAATTGAATTAAAATAAACAATTTCTTTTTTTTGTGGAGCCCCCCTCCCAGACCCCAAAAATATTCGAACAGAGATAAAAGGCTGAAATGTAGCGGATGGCATTTGCTGTCTGGCTGAGATAAGTGCGTGTGCTGTGCAGATGTCTGCACAACAGTTTAGAACCTGCTTGGGGACAGCCTAATTACACTCTTAAGAGCATACGTTAATGGTGCCTCTCACTTTATATGAGTGAGTATGTGTGTGTCTAATGACAAAGAAAGCCTGAGGGTGGGATCTGTACAGTGTGCTATGTTGGTTAGTGCTGAGCAGGAGTGAGTCTTTTACCGCCTCACCATCTATCTTTCAATCTCCCTCGCTTTGTCTCTCTCTTTAATTCCTCTTTTAACACAAGCAGATTTGACACAGCTTCAAACACTTGGTGAATTGTATTGTCTATAATTGTCTCACAAACTATTTGGAGGAGCAAAGTGAAAAAATACTAAAGGTGAACAAACTAATGGTTTGATAAATAAATAAATGTCAAAATTATCATCAGAAGAATTCTACTTAAAGTCGTCACCCCCAATAAATATTTATCACCAGTAATATGGACAATGTTGGTAGAAAGTCATCTTCAAATGTCAAATTTTTTAGGCTTGTTAAGGAACAATCTTATGATTACAGACAAAGCCACATTATTAAAAATGAAGGAAATGGCTCTAAATAGCCTACAATCATGCATCAGTCCTGTTTTTGTTCTTTTGCACTTGCTGAAATGCATCTGGAGCAACAAGTGTCCATAAAAAGCCTCCTAGTACAGCGGTCCAATCCCCGGCCCAGGGAAACCATCAAGCCTAAAATCCTCCACGACTACCAACCGGGTGAACTCCAGCTTCTATCAGAAATGAGTCTGACTTATTATTGGTGAATAAATGTCAGCAAACCATGCTGATGTGACAGGGTGTACAGGGAAGGAATAGCCCATAACCACCGGCCCAATAGTAACTTGAACTATTTAACCAAACATGAATTTTTTTTCTAGACAAGATTCTCATATACCTTTTATGACCAGCACAGAAACTCAGGTTGTGTGTTGGCTCCAGCACTCGGAAATGATAAACAGCCCTAGTCTTCAATAGTACAAAGGGAGACTACTCCAGCACTATTTTCTGATGTATATACACTCCATGGACAGCTTATTAGGTGCACCTAGATAAAACTATTACAAACCAATAAAACAGCATAGCAATAAATCATCACCCTGTAGGTTAATAATATTCTGGTTTTGTCTCTAGTTCCAGACCTGCTGTAGTATGGCGCTAATTCAACTTCATGGTCACTTTGGGTAATAACATGAATTTGTCATCTATTTAAAGCAGGTTTTTTTTTTTTAATAATTAAAGGAAAATAAAATCTAGGGTTTACTGATGGGATAAAAAATTGGTGTAAAACCATACAATAAATTCCTACCTGAGATACATGTGCAGATTGGACTTTAGTTTTAATGTTAGTGAAACAGATCTTGCTGGAAACCTTTTTGTCTGTAATGAGGGTTTGTTTTGGTTCAGTGAATCGTGCCTGAATTACATAATGTTTGAGTTGTACTCATACGTCAGTCTGAAGACAAGAGCCAAAAAAACAAATAAAAAAATAATATTTTTACCGTGATCGCTCGCTTTCCAAACACAGCCCCCTCAACTACCTCTGCATCTCTCTCTCTCTCTCTCTCCCCAACTCTCTCTCAGACCTTCTGTCCCTTTCTCACCCACTCCTCCCTCACACATCACACCTCTCATTACTCCACAGTGAGAGGCCAATCTGAGGGAGTGTGAGTGCTGTGCCTGTGCGAATGTGATTGGCGCTGCTGCACATCAGTGTTTCACTAACCCCTTATCCATCTTCAACTCTGCTCTTCTGGTTGGAAGTCAGATAAATCAGACAAACTGAACCTTGGAGCCAGAGTACTTGATATTTCATTGAATAAAACGTGAGGAGTCCATGTCTAAAAGACACCTGTAAGTTGCTGAACTGGGTTACAGTGCTACACAGCAGAAAATATTTCAGGACCTACCACTACACATATCAAGATGTAAAAGTCAAGATCTTAGTGTATGAGAGAATGAGAATGTCTTTATCAAGTTGCTTCAGGTTTCTTGCTTGAGAAGTAAAATTCTTACATAAACAGAAGTAAAACCTAAAGAAAAAACCCTGAATCTTCATCAAGGGCAAGGTTGATGTACTTTCTACTTTAACTTTACTGCAAAACAGACTAAAAGTATGCACTTCAATGTATGATTTGTGTATAAAGATCCCTTTTCAATGCACTTTGTGCCAAAGCTTAAATTTTATGACTCGTTCAAGTTCATTACATTGGACTGTTTGCTTTTATGCCATATGCAAAATCATGGACTCTTCCCAGGACTTGAATGCCAATTTTGTGTATAAAGCTATAAACTCTGTTTGTCAGCTCCCTGTTATAGCACCCACTTGCAAATTATGCTGACTACCCAATTAAGTGTGCAGTGATGCTTACAGAATACATTTCAAATGCTGTTGATTGCAAATTTTAGGTGACTACTAGCTGCTGAACACTGGATTTCTGGCAGGGTCCTTGATGTGAAAGATAAATTACCCAGCCTTTATATCAGAGAGACACAGCACTGATAAAGAATTGGCAAATGAAGAACACAAAGAGCCAAAGGAGGAGTTTTAGGGATGTGTGTAGGTTAATTAATTTTTGGATTTAATGTTGCTGTATGGCATAGCACACGAACAAGGAAAAACAGAGCACAAAACAGAATGAAAAACAGTGCAAGAGAATATGAGAAATCATTTTGCTTCATCTGCTTTGGCTCAGCATTTCTAACTAAATAAAAGAACGCTTTAATTAGGGCACGCATTAGCGCATGTGTAAATAAGTCCATATTTATATTTATTGCAACGCATATTCACTACAGTGAGAAATTAATGGCTGTTTCATACATACTCATACTGTGTTTCTAGAGTGGTATGCATTCCCTTGATCATATATATGTCTTTAATATGTCTGGGCAAAAAAAAAAAATTATTTCTTTTAAAATGTGACAGTGTCAAACAAACCATCAAATGAATAACATTTTGAAAAAAAAACTGTGTGTATGCATTATAATACTCACGCATCTACATCTGGTATCAGAGCCAGTTTGCTGGGAAAGATCTCCGAGAGAAGCACTCGAGTGAAGGACTTGCCCAAGGACTGGAGCTTTGACTCCAGGTGCTGGAAGAAAAAGAGATGAAAACATTTTGCCTTCTAGACATAAAATAGGCTGTGAAACTCAGCCACATATAATAAGGTATAGGTCACATGATTTATGGCATTAACATGTGCTGATAATCACTCCAGAGGTTTTGTGCTTTCACAGTTTCAGCTTGACTAGACTTTTTCATCTGAACATCAAGCTTTGAACTATTGCATCTCCGCCTATTTATTTTTTCTGCTAATGCACATTTACATATTGGAAACAACATCTTACACTCCCTCCAGTATAATGTGATTCTTCCCTTCAATCTCTTTCCAATTAGCTCTGGCCTCAACACCTCAACAGGGAAGCTTACAGATTAGACCCCCAAACTATGTTCAGCGCTAAGTGCCTAGTGTACTATTCCAGCCTCTATACAGACAATCAATCTCTTCATCCTTTTGCCATGTGTCCAGGCACACTGTAAAGATAATTCTTTATTGGGCACTTACAACTGAAATCCCATTCTCGCAGTCTCCACCTAGAGCTTAAAGCTGTAGGAGAGGGCAGGAATTTAGATTGAGCATTTGTGCCTCAGATTGGCTCATTTAAATGTTGTTTACAGTGTATGCATTCCTGTGGTGGATTAACTAACTCATCTGTCAATCTAATATTTTATGGTCACTTTAAAAAAAAAACAAAAAAACGCCATATGATCCCACTCCTTTGATTAGTAATAAAATTAATTACCACCCCCAAAACCAGTGTTTTCAGGCAGAGTATTACATCGTCAGACATGGAAGTGTTGAATCTCGCAATCACTTCAGGCTTGGCAGTAAACTGTTAGATGGGGTGCTGAACAGTCTGATGAAACCTACACAATTACATCACCAGCAAAGCTGCAGTTCTAATGTGCCTGGTTTCTCTCCACTCTTTAAGTCCACCTGAAGATTCTGTCCATAGATTTGACAGAACAAAGGTTTAAAACAAATAAATAAATCAGCCCAGCTACAACTCAGAACACACTTTACTTGGTGAGGTATTGTACACAATAGTTTTGAACTTTTTCTGCATGGAAAGTTTCCAACACAGTTAGCAACTGAATCATCAGTGTCCCCCACACCCATCTGGTAAAATTCACTTTGGCAGTTCTGGAAAAGGGCAGTCTAGCCAGAAGTTACAAAACATTATACCATTATAAAGACATTTTTCACAACAGAAAACTGACAGACAAGCGAGACAAAGACAGTGTGACTGGCGAGTAGCGGTGTCACATGTGGCTATCATTCCTCAGGGTCGGTGAATAAGGCCTGATGGGCACAAGCCCAGTCACCAGACCTTATAAAACATGTCATTAAATTAAACTGTTTAGCCAAATCAAGGAACTTGGTTCTTTTTCTCACTCTGTCTTTTTAGTTGTGGGTAGCGGACTGAGGCCTTACTTGGGAATCCAAAAGGCAGACAAACCAGAAGATATCCCATAAATCCTTCTTTGATGAGATATAGGTAAAATGTGACTGTTATCCGCTGTCCTTGGGAGTATCTTGCAACATTTAGATCACTGTGCTCTTATCAGCTAGTTCTGTCCCCTTACTTGAGAGGTTATCTGACACTACACTTCCTAATCTTAAAAGATCTCTGGTGAGTTTGTATTCAAATCCCTTTTTTAAATCCACCCCCGAATGCAACACAAAGATTAAACTTTTCACTCTAGTTGACATTTATACATCAGTGCTAACATAATCTCTTGAGTCTGGATATTTGCGAACAAGTCAAGTCTATGCATGTACACTCGCTGAGGAAGTATTAAACCATTTACATCTAGCATTTAGATGGAGGCTCCAGTTTTTCATACAGCAATCCATTACTGATTAAATTATGATTTAATTAGTAATAAGTAAAATTCAAAACAGTAGGGAAAAGAAGGGGAAACAAAACAAAGAAAAAGGAACAAACAGGAGAAAAACAAACTGGCAATTGAAGAGAGGGCAAAGCAGGAGGACCAGCTGCAAGTTAAGAGTGACTAGAGACCTTCACGCATGCTAATACATAATATTTTGTACTTGCACAGACTGAGCTTCTCACTTATGAGTCTGCACCAAATATACCAGCCTTTGACTGTGTGCACTTACTATACTATTTATGAATTCTCATGCCAATAGTTCTAAGCAAGGTTTGTCTTACCTACAAAGTGTGATGAGAGCATTAAACAGTTACCGATAGATAATTTAAAATCATTTATGTATAAAAATACCCCACATTTCACTGAATTATTACAATTAACCAGTTGAATACTGCTTAGAAATGCTTGCTGAACAAGAACGTGAGCTGCATTTCTAAGTGGCTGAATTTTCCAGAGTTAATTTATGCAAATAATGTGATGGGACTGTGCTGCAAAAGCTTTCACCGAGGAAAAGTATAGACTGTTCTTTATGCTTTGAGATGTTTATTTGTAGTTGTTTATTTAATGTTTGTATTGTGGAAGCAATAACAGAAAACGCTCAAAATCATACATCACTAGTAACACTCCAACACAGTCATGCTTGAAGCCAGCAGCGAGATCAAGGATAAGATTTTCTATGGCTGTTTGGCTGCATCATCCTAAATTTGAAATAACAAGCTCCCAGTGTGACGACTTCTTGTCTTATTACTACTTCATGTCACCAAATCACTTGTCAAAAAAACTCGCGCTAAGAAATATTACAAGCCGTTGCACAAGTGGCCTCGGGACATGTAGAGTGTTGAAATGAGGATGCAAACTCACCTCCAGGACTTTAGGGCTGCCCTGTCGGCCAAGCGTGCCCAAGATCAGTCCCCATCTCTGGGCCAGTCGAGCCTTGTCAATAGCCTGGAGCCTTATAGCGCGCATGGCCTCGTGGTCGTAGTATTCCCTGGAGAACACCTTACTGTAGGGGTCGTATCTACAAGCATAGCCAGGCAGAAAAAGGCTGAAAATCACAGATGTGAACAGGACGTGTCGATTCTTTTGAAAGAATGAACCTGATTACACATATTACAATCCATTGTTCTGGCATCAATCTCAAGGACATAAATGCACCAAAAAAAAAAAAAAAAAAAAAAAAAAAAAGGTGAAAAATCCAATCACAAAAAGTCATCAAATACAACAGGAGTTAGTGTATCTGAGGGAAAAATAGATGTATTTTTGAGCATCTAATCTCCTTTTCTCTGGTACAAGGGGTACACTTGAGATTAGAATCTTGTTTATGAGAGAGACCTGTGATCTGTGCAGCAGTGCATATGTCTATAACAACACAATTTCACTTTGCATGCAAGCAAGCCTTATCAAAACAGAACTTGAGCTTCACATAATGTTATCATGCCACTGCGATAAGGTGAATAATCAGGACTGCAAGCAGTTTTTAAATTTAAACAGCACTAAAAAGCATCATAAGATTCTGAGCCTAGAACATAAATTGAGGATCCAAAAAGGTGATTATGGATGTCGATCGCTTCCGTACTTAAAAAAATGTTTTACTTTTTTCATTGCAATTATTACAAAAAGTTTATTTGACATCATTTGCCCCCAAATGATCAAACTAACACTAGTTCTATAATAAACACTATTTTGTATCATATAAAGAGAGATGTACATGAAATATGTGACAATACCTGTAGGCAGGAATGTCTGGGTTTGCAATCATGATTGATTCCAGGTGAAATCTTCCATCTCCAAGATAACTGTAGAAAGATACCAATCAATTCAATGTTTGAGGTGAATGAAACGAGAGGAAAAATAAAGTGTGCAAAGAAAATTCCCTGAAGATGATTAAAATTCATTGTGCAGCCATAAGAAATGCTGACCTATTCTCTTATTCTCTCCATCAGCGTTTTATCTCTGTTTTTTTTTTTTTTTTTAACATTGTCTTTTAATTTATGTCTGCAGCCTCTTAACAGAAGACCAAAGTGTTTTCGGGCAGAAGCCTTACGGCTTGGGTGGAGGGTCTGCCCACTTCTGCTGTTTGGGAATGTGACCTCAACGAGCAGAGCACGCTGTTTACAGAGAATACAAGCTTTCCCAATTAACCCAGGGTCTGGTGCTGGGGATTCGCCAGAGCGCAAGCAGACGTGGAGTTCACAAACCGCAAACACTGAGTGACATGGAGGTGTCTAAAAATGCAAGGTCTCTTACATAAATGCCCCTTGGGGTCAGGCTGAGAACAATCCTGTTGTTAGTTTGAGGGGGACTCAGGTCAGTACCCCTACTTATTACTTAGCAGGTGTCTCAAAAGGCCTACTGTGCCAGGACGTGCAATTAAACCCACTAATTGGTCAGTGTTTAGAGTGGCTCAAAGCAGGCTGTGGGTGGTTTGCCATACAGGCTACCAAGAGACACGACTAGCTGAGGCTCTATTTGTTAGCAAGTGCATGGTTGTGTGTAAGCACGTTTGTCTCTGTTTGCATCTGTGTAATAACACTGAACACAAAATGAACTCAAGGAGAGCCTCTGTTGCACTGCCTCTCTTTGCTTAGAAACATCCAAGGCCCTCGTATAATTATGTTCCCAACAATAAGCCTGCTGCATTTCAGTCACGGTTGTCCTCAGCACTCTGCGGCTCTAAAAGGTTGGTGTGCTTTAACGCTCCCTATGACCACAGTCCTTCTATCTATATTCTTTATTTTTCAAAAGTGCTCTCACTAGAATGGCAGAATGCTGTGTGTCTGTGCGTTACGCAACTGCCTATTTTCACATTCACATCTTCATATTGTTCTATTATGAGTGAGAGCTAGAGGTGGCAGATCGAAATGGGCGAATGGCCATTTCAATACACTTTAAAAATACTTTTCATTATGGAAATGACAGAGACTAAGACCTTTTAGAGCTTCAAAATCACCCTTAAAGACTAATGCATCACTATTCATTCTTCATATTGCTCAAGCAGGTCAAAACTTTGATAAAATGCAATTACAGCTTGAGCACGCACCACTTTTTGCGGGAACTTGCTCATTTCGAATTCATATAGGATGACTTGATATTAAATATTCATTTATTGCTATAATACAGGTGCTGAACAAAACCATGCACTGTAAAAAAGAAATCATATTAAGAGCAGATCTGCTCTGCTTTCGTTAGTGACAGTGAACAATCAAAGCGCCATTACCCGAATAATTCGTTAAAGTAAAAAGAGACTGATCAGCAGAGGGAAACCATTTCGCTGTAGCTGTACTTCTGATATAGCTGTCACATCAAAATAAAATGTTTCAGCTATATATTTTTAGACTGAAATTTAACACTAGGGGATGGTGCTACCTGTGAGGTTAAAGTCCTCATCATTGCTCATGTGTTCAATGTAACACGTGTGGATTAAATGAGAAAGAGAGCAACATACATCCCTCAGGTAGGCTAATCGATTTTCTCTCCCAGCACACCTCTGCACAAGCCAGCTGACACATCAAAGACAACGCACATTGGATTAGAAGGTGAAACACACTCTGACCCTTCCACAGCTTTCACGCATACAAAGAGACACACTGAAACACTGAAACAGACACACAGTACACATCACTTTTGTATCCACTTATGCATATAGCAAAGCCCGTCCTTGTGCAGCTGTTACGCACTGGGAGATTTTAATCGCATGGACAAACATTAGATGTGTGCAGATCAGACATATGGGGCTGTGCACCTCGGCATAATTATATCAAGGGAACATCATCTCACTGTGCACTACAAAGCATAAGATTTATCTACTGCAGACAAGCACCAGATGTATAGACACACAGTAGCTGCGGAGGTGTTGTTTGTTAGTTGGACCTGTTACTTTGCCAAGCGTTTTCCTCCCTGCAGCACAGGCAAAATAAGCATCACTTTGACACATCGCACATGAACGGTGTTTTTGTGAAAATACACAGGAAGTAGTCTTTTAGGGTACATGCAGCTCCTGACTGGATGCATCATCTTTTTTTTTCTGATTAAGATTAAATAAATGGGGAAAAGAAGAAATTAAAACGGGCAATCAGACAAGCTGAAAGTAATATATCAAGGAAACCTGTCAATCCTTACTATGGCAACGTATAGTAGGTGTTATATTTTGCTAAAGCGTTTCCTTAAATCTAAACTATAAAACATGTGAATATGTTGACTCTGGCTTGAAACAAGCCAAAGGTGTCTGAATACATACAATTCAAGCTATTCAAGGTGGCCGTTTCTGGCTCCTTATAGCTCACAGATATGGCTGGTTATCACAGCCAGCTCTGTCTGGTGTGACAGGCATTATGGCATACAGATTATTACTCATGCCACATGGGTGGGCATGGCAATAGCAGGCTTTACTATGGAAGGAAAGGAGAGAGAAGACAATGGCTGGATGAGCCAATGCTGGATCTCTGCAGCTATCTAATCTGTGCTAACTAAAAAAAAGGAACTGGGCAGACACTGTAAGGTGGGAGACAGGAGGAATAAGATTTCTTACACAATGGCATTGACATGGCGCTCCAAGCGAGGGGAGGTGCAGCCTAAAATTTCTCCCGGTGACAGAGGGCGACACTGTGGGACATGCACATCATACTCTGTCTTGAGGGCTGCACTCACAGCCTAGAATATGGAGGAAGGAGAAGAGATTATATTCTCTGTGTACGTATTTAATCAGGTTCTTCACTTTTGATGGTTCATTTTTACATTTTTAATAACGGAAAGATAACAAGAGATGCATTGAATATGAATGTGGCTGAGTCTGAACCTACAGAAAACATGCAGACCAAACATTTTTCTTCATCTTCCATCAGACTCTGTGCTGTAGGACATTTAAGTAAAACAAAACAATAGATATTACATTAAAGCCAAGCCTGCCTTTTAATGGGTTTTGAGGTTTGCATTGCAATTTTACATTTGATGTAAATCAAGTGATATTAATGCAGAGACCTGCACTTTAATGTAGTGTCCACTGTTTTATTTTAAATTGAGCATGCTAAAGATATGAACCAGAGGAATAAAAACGTGCAACTGTCTGTGGTCTCGATTCCATGTATGCAAAAGGGAAAAACAGAATTAAAAGTCAGAAGATAGGGGGTTACCCACTATTACCACTGGTGCAAATATATAGAATATTATAATAATATAATATTTTTAAAAGACTGAAAATGTCAACTTCAAGTGATACTGAAAGGGTCATGAATGATTTTCTGCCAGAAGTGTAACTCTTAACACACAACTGGTGTTTAAATCCTCATGCTTCTGCAAAGCACCAAAAAAAGAGTGCTTTAATTTTTAGAAAAATGAACTAGTTCATGTGTACTCATTTAGATGAAAAGAGAAAACGAGTGAACAATTATTATAAGAAGAAAAAAAAAAGGGAAAAAGTGTGTGTGTTCTGAGGATAAACAAACGATTTAAGGCTAATTTAAGGCAGTCCACAGGGAATACGGGTGAACTTCTCCCGCCCATACTGTGTGACCCCAACAAGCCTACACACATAAGACACGAGTGAGATTGGAGCAAGCATGCATACAAAACATTGAGACTTATGCAGACATATACACATAGGCGGACTCAAACATCCCATCATACAATGTGACCTGTTACGGTAGAGCTTGATTTAAAAATAGCAGTGGTTGCATTAGTAAAGGTCCAAAGTGGTGCTGGTTCAACACAGCATATGAAAGCAGCAAAATGCATTATAGAAAAGGGAGGCAGCCAGCCTGAAAGAAGGCTGCTCGAGCTTAATACTATAGCTGCTGCCACTGCTTATATAAAGAGCACTACTGAGCACGATGCTGAACCGAGCGGCCTTCCGAGTTCATTGCACCTTTCAAATCCAAAATAACTGCTGCCGGATTTGTCAAACCCACACTTGAACTGAGCTTTAAGAGCGGCGTGTGAGCTTGTTCATAAAAGCCAGGAACTGCAAAAAAAAGTATACTGTACAAATGCAGAGATGTGTGTGTGTGTGTGTGTGTGTGTATTCCTGTACTGTACAGAAAAATATACTCTTTATGTAATATGGAAAATACAAGTGACAATAACTGTGTGCGTCAGCTCTCTCCGACGCGAGAATCACACACAAATGCACACAAAGTCTGACAGAACCGGCGCTTAATCACCTGCAGCGCCGCCACAAACTGAATAGTGCTGACGAGTGCAAGAGACTGTCCAGGAGAGAAGTTGAACTTGATTGTGTCCAGGAAGTGTGCATTGTCCATCTGGATATCCACAAACACATACAGCATCTTGATACCTGCAGTCGAGTCTATGGGGACTGCAGCAAGACAAAGAAAAAAGAAAGACAGATGAATACTTCAGTCCTGCTTCTTTAGCCTGCTGTATATGCAGCATCAAAACATAAACATATATACACAGCAATACAGCTACACAAATAAACTGTATGTGAGCATACTGCAAATATAAAGATCCTACGGTACGCACCTATGTGACATAACTGAAACATGAGTGAGAGTCTAGCACGTGCAGGAACTGATGCAAAGACCTCAATTATTTAGGGAAGGAGAAGGACACACGCGATTACTATTAATGCCATTAATTTCACAGACCATTTACTACGCGCCCGGGCCTGTGAGACGTAGCGACAGACATGCTGAGTTAGATGCTGAATAAAGCAGGGGAGAGTCCAAGAAACAAAGGGGTAAAGGGTCTAGATAAGAACGAAGAATTATTGTTTGTGTTGATCATTATAATCGGTCTTCCTCTCGTGCTACAGTTAATTTGCAGATCAGAAGCGAGGGGACTTTTTTGTTACAATTAAGCAAATGGCCCATTATGGTTGAAATGCTTTATGAACAAGTGCAGCTCACTTGATGGCCTAGATTAAAGCAACACTGAGAGAGAGAGCGATATGGGAGCAAGGCTCAACAATGTGCAGATAATAGGGAGTGAATAAAGAGGGGATAGTGGGAAAACATAAGAGCCGTCTTAACAAAGAACTGAAGGCAGCTGTGATGGAAATGGGAGAAGAATGAAACATTCCCATGAAAGTAGGCTGGAAAATAGAGAAATTTAATTTGGGGGTGTGGGCAGATGATTTTATAATAAACTGTATAAAGAGCAAATGCTTTGGAATGGGAGGCAGGAGTGGAAAAAGTAACAGGATACCGAGTGTGTGTGTTATGGGTATTTAGTTTGAGTGTGAAGGGTAGGTTGTCAATTAACTGGGAACAGAGGTGATGAATGGGCTCACATTTCAGCACCGAGTAAAGGAGAACAGATGGATAGATATTTAAAACAGTGGGGTTTGCTGCAGGCCACACGCTGAGTGAGAAACCAAGGAGTTAAATACATCATGAGGGGGAGATAGGTAAAAATCTAGACTGAGACCAACAACCGTCTGTTGCTTGTTTATAGACACTCCCAAAACATAAAAGGGCAGAGGAAAGTGACATCGATCTGTGTTCACATTAGCATGGTAGCCTGAGAGCACTTAGGTGCTGCAATCAGAGACACAGTCAATGAGACAGACACGACTCACTTGCACCATCACTGGTTTTTATCCTTTTCATGGCAATAAGATCACTTAGCACAGCTGCTTATTAATGCCCATGAAAACAAACACAAATGCACACTCAAATTGAACAAAAGGGTGGACATAGTGCTATACTGGCTTGGTTACAAATGGTCTGTTAAAAATCAATATGTAAAAACAAAATCTATTCTGATATTGTACCTCTGTATAATTCATGAACAATAAGCCAATCGTTTGGCATATTGAAAATGTGGTCCTGAAATAATCTGGATTATCTATGTGGGGAAATGTGATAGCATTTAACTTGGATTGGAGAATGGATTTAGCATTTATATAATGAAATAAGAGATGCTTGCTATGCTATTATGGTTTAATAAGATATGACATTTATTTGACCCAAAAGTTGGTGAATTACATTGTTAAAGTAGCCAAAACACAAAAAGCAACCTAGCTTGATAAAACAAATAACTGAGAATGGCACAAAATACACAAACGAGCTCAATTTAACAAGAAAACGGATGTGAGTGAAGAGGGCAATATATAAAAATAGAAATGTAATACAATATGGTACTGTGGCGTTGTAGAGGGCAGTCAAGGTTATATGTTTATTAAATTTATTATCTAAAGCTATTCACCATATCCACAATCATCTGAAGACTTCTCTATTACCTGATGGAGCAATCCAAACAGTGTATTGATTCACAATGAATTCAAACATTAACAGCAGGACATGAGAGGATTCTCACTTAAAGTTAATGTCATAATCTGATACTGCTGACAACATTTCAACTGCTCAAAACAATCAATACAGTCGTATACAATAACAATCCCACAGCAAGTGTCTACAGATGGGAACTGTTACCTGGGCTGTTATAAAAATTACAAAACTCTTATCCAGTACCACACAAATACGACTAGTTACTCTAAAATCAGTGCCATGGCCATGCTCTGAAATGACTTTAATAGTGAGGATCTACTCATGATGTTTAAGGAAGACCAGTAAAACTTTCCTGGCATTATCGGAGGAGAGCTTCTATCTCCTGACAGTTTTCCTTCCTGGAGTTCAATTTTGGATTCTATATTTTGATTCCAGTATGTTCCCCAGTTTATCTCAGGCTGTTCTGTTCCAACTACTATGGTATTCAGGTTAAACATCAACAAAAAAGTCCCCAAACTCATATCTGCAAACAATGTTAGAACTTTAAAACACGGTTTTATGATGTTGCCCATATTGTCCGGCTCAAACTGGAGGTGCTTTATGATGAGGAAATATGAGAGGACACCACTACTCTCAAAAGCAGATACTGCAGAGGAAATGAAAGGGAAATGAATGAATGCGGGAGAGAGAGTTCCTCTGTGAGTCAGACAAAACACCGTGTCTTTCATCTCCCACAGGTGGCTGACATCTTGGGGAAACAGTGCAGTGATGTCCTCACAACTGAGAGATGAAGGTCAGGAACGGATGCACGACACCACCATTACATTTGCATTCTCTCAGGATCTGCAGTCCATTTGGGTTTGTTTGTTTTTTTAATCTCTTCCATCAATTAATATCTGATCTCCATCCCAACCCGCAAAGACTTTAACGCCTTTATCCTTGCATTTGCTGGGCTACTCTCAGCAGAAACAGGTACATATCTTATCTTTTGTAAACATACATGCCTGCATACATAATTGCTCCATGATAATCAAATTATAAATATGCCAACAGCACATACACAAAGACTAACACAATGAACACAATAAAGCCAAAAGAGCGACAGAGAGCGAAAGAGAGTGTTTTTCAGTAGTATTAAAATTCTGTTGGTCATTTCTGGTATTTGGGATAGGTGAGGTCGTTCTGGCAGAGATATATCAAAACTATTGATTTAACATTTCCTCCCATGTTCTGCGAAAGGCAGACAGTGGGGGCGAGGGTGAAGGTCCTCGAGAACTGCTTGAGGTTTTCAAAGAACGGCTCTAATGGATGTCCTCCATTGATCTGCTGAGTAAATGTGATGCCCAGGCTCCAAACATCTGATATGCTTTCCAAACTAGAGTTGGGAAGAATGCACCAACTAGTAACATTTTCCATTGATCGATGGCTTTGTCTGTGAGTCTGTCGTTGTTGGTATGTCTATGTTCTGAAGCTTCTTTTTTTTTTTTAATGCAACCCACTCTTAGTAAGTGGGTGTCTTCGATGCTAGATCACTTGACATTCTCTACACGAAGAGTCATGAAGAGAGAAAAAAAAACAGAGACTCACTTAGGCAACTGTGGCCATAGTGCACCATGAAATCTGCTCCCAGGGCTCGAGCAGTGAAGTCATCCACACAGCAGGCGCCGTACGTCACATCCCCCATCACAAATGTATCTGCATCTGTGAACCTGGAATTTGGGCAGAGGCTCTAATCACTGTTGTTACAGACCATATATGCTGTTGCTTGTTACCATAGCGAATAACACACATAGCATCCAAGGCATGGTGTGATTATAAGCGAGCTGAGTAAGATCAACTCTTATCCACTTGCTGCAGATTGAGTAGACTATATAGCATCTGACAAAGCTACCAGTCAATGACTGACTCACAGTACATCAGGGTGACACACTGCTATTCTTTTGCTCCTTATAACTGGGAGCCAGCGGCCAAAGTACAGTACAAGCTGTCTGATAGTTAAAGCCCTGCCAGATGAGGGTTAATGGGTCATCAGTTAGCCTGGCCACAGACAGAACGCTAGACGAAGAGGAGAAGCACAAAAGGAAATGTATGACTGATGCAAATAGATTAGAGTTTGCAGAGGTCTTTAACAATCTATTTCCCAGATTTGCTGTGAAGGCTGTGAAATACACAGACCATGTGGGCCCTAATGTTCCACTTTGCAGATGTAAAAGGGGAAAATAATCATGGCCTTCTTGAAAGGAACACTAACAAATTACACAGGCATCTGTGGACTCAGTACTGTTAAAAATAATTGCAGATTGTGCTACTGAAAAACAAGTCCCTACACATATCACCCTTTATGGGCAAATAAAATGCTAAGTAAACCCATAAAGACTAAGTAAAATGAATAAAAGCGGGTAGTAACAGCAAAAAAGAGCTAATGAACAGAAGCTTCAGGCATTGTAAGGGAGGGAAGATGGGTAGACAAGGGGGTGTTTGTAAAATGAAGTTGTTGCCAGGTATTCGTGGCTGTATTCTGACAGATTTAGGCTAGACAGAAGAGGTAGAACTGAGATGAGAAGAAGGACTTGGGGAAAGGAGAGGAAAGTGATAAACAGAAATGGCTGCACACAGAACAACATCTGTAGAAACCCACAGATTCTTAGTAATACGTCTCCTGCTGCCCAATCTTTCAACCAACATCTACTCTGTTTATTCCTCGCTCTGCACCTCGCCAGGGGCTTCACACAAAGTTTCTATTTAGCCTTTCCTCTCTCAATTTCTCTCATGTAATCTCTAGTTTGTGCTCTCTCTAGGCCCCTCATCATTGTCCCCTGGATTTCTACGTAGTTCCTCTCCAAATGTCCCTGTCCCTTCTCCTATAATAGCAGCTCTCAAGTGAAAGGAGTACAGGCCAGCTGAGCCCAGGAAAACACAGACAGAGCAACTCATCTGATAAATAAATATTTGCATTCAAAGGTTTGAATCAGTGGCTCTCTCTCTTTCTCTGGGTTTTGATTTTGTCTGCATCCATCTGTTTGTGCACCATTGGATGTCTAGCCAATAGCAGGAAGGTAATTAAGGATCACTAAAAATGATACAATAACAGGGATCATTTAAGGTTTCTCACTCACTGGAAAGATTATTTTTCATAAACATGCAACAACCTTTCAGCTAAAAATACTGTCCACCAGAAGAAAAAAAAAAAAGATTTCCCCTGCAATTCACTGCAGACCACGCAAAACCATCTACAATGCAAAACACAGCACTACAGAAGATTATTGTATCTAATCAGCCATCTATCTGCCAGAAATATCATTACTACACTGGCAGTGCAAGCTGTATCTAGTTATTTCCAGGGTAAGTACATTGAAATTTTATGGTAATAAATGCTAAGAATCTGTTTAAGAGGCTGATATGAGATGTGTAATGCTACTGGGACATGGACAGAGTAATTACTGAGAAACATATAGTCCCATATCCCAATGGGAGAGCGAAACAGAACGAAGACGCATGATGAGAAAAAACAGAGAGAGGACAACAACTTGAAATGTGTATCAGTGTAAATCACAATCACATTATCTCAACACAGGACACTACTGTACAGACATAAAGCCAAAATGTCCTTCGATCCATCCCTATTTAGATTTTTTCCACTTTCACATCCTCAACTATCACTCCTCTCCTCTATTGCTTCGCATACTGGTGTCCCGTGTCTTGCACAGTTCCGATTTCTCTCTGCATATCAGCAGTGGTTTTGCCTCATCTTGTGGTACTCAGTTCAGCCATTCCAACTGAAATGTCATTAAGATCTAATTAAGATGTCAGAGGAGCTTGTGAACTCTATAACAGCCCTTGTTAATTAGCTCTTTAGCATACAGCTCAATATGTGTGAGAAATTGCCAACTGATTTGAATCTCCGTTACAAAAACCACTGTGCTGGTGTGTGCTACAAAAACAAGCTTGAGTCTGCAGCAAGAATGGAATACATGCATCCAAGTACACATGTGCACACGCGCGCACACGGTGTAAAAGTATTGCCAGCTGATTGTATCACCACTTATCAATAGTTTAAACAACTGATGTGTTTTTACATAAATGGCATTTTTCTTCACTGCATCATTGTCCTAATGCAGTTGAGTAATCATAAAAGTAAATGCATCTTTCTGGTCTGTGCTCTGATACCAATTTCCTTTTCCTGACTTTGACAGGAATTTCTTCTGATGTCACAATAAAGCAGAGAACTTGTTGGTACCAGTGCATTACACCTCAAAGATGTTGCAGCAGACAAAGAGAATGCAAAACTTCTCTCGTCTCTGAACAATTCGATTGCGCCACACAAAGCCATTCTGTCACAGATGACACTTATCTGTTCATGAAAATTACCAGACTAAATTAAACTAACAGGCTTCCACCATCTGTCTAGATAACATTTGATTTAAGGTTCTGAGTATTTTGCGATGTGTTAAGTTGCAGATATATTTCATTGACAGTTTTACTATTGGGCCCATTAGCCTGAGAGAAAAAACAAACGACTGTTTAAAAAATGATATATAAACAACTTTCCATTATAAAACTCCATTGTACCACAGCTAATATGTCAATGACATATTTAAACTCTGAGCAAGCTGAAAACTATGATTACATTATACATTTTATAGTATTAACACTGCTTGCTCTGGTAGCGCGTGTTAATTTCTATTTGTGTCTGTGCAGCAGATAAAGTGTTGAACCCATCACCAATTTTCAGTGTAAATATAATTCTAAAAGGTGCTATCAATATGAAATTTTCACCAGATGTTGGCAACAAACCATTCAATCCACATATGTAAAGAAATCAAACCATTGATGTCCATACATTCAGTTATGTGTAATGATGAGAAATGACAAAAGGGAAAAAACTATTGAATACCTGAATAAAGGGAGGTTTAAAAAGGCATGGGAAGTCACAGCACCAGCTGAAATCTATCAGTAACTAGACAAAGTTGCATTTCCTGCAAAAATGCAGTGTGAATGCCGTGTAGTGGAATCTGAAAACAGCAGGAGAACTATCTGCTGAAAACACTTTGTAGAAACTGAAGTCTTTGCTGAAAACTGTTGTATTTGAAAGGGTACACTGAACAATGTCAATAAAGCACACTGAGTGCAAGCAGAGAAGAAGTGTGACAACCGCCACAGGTAGGATTCAAACCTGCACCACCAGGTCTCACGGCAGCTGCTCATCTCACTGAGCCAAACTAGTTCTTGTCCCAAAGACAGATATGGTGAGAGAAAAATGTGAAGGGTCCGTTAGAAGCTGAATTATGCTGAAAAGAGGTGAAAGAGCTGAAATTTCTGCTGAAAAGGGGTGTAGAAGCTGAAAAGTGTTAAAAAAAAGTTAAAGTGTTTACTGAAAAAATGTTGCCATAAGTAGGATTCGAACCCCGGCCTCCTGCTCTGAAAACGGCTGCTCATCTCACTGAGCTAAAACACGGCTCAGCCTGGCAAGCTAAACTGGTGATCACACTGATAATGTGGTTCCAGTCATTAAAATGGGCCCAAAAATGGCATAAAAAGCTTAATTTTCAAAAAGTATAAAAGTTATCAGCACCACAACATATAGCTGACATTAGCAGAATGAGCAGAACAGCTTAAAATTTGAATGGTGAAAATCGGATGAAAACTGAGGGAGTAGTTAAGCGGCAAAGAAACTAAAATAAGGTAGAAGAATCCGGTAGTTAAGTGATGATGTGATGAATCCTACTTCCGGGCCTAAAGTAGTCTGCGTTTAATATGGCTTTTGTGTTGTTAACGTTATGTATTTTCTTCTATTTAATCTCAAAAAGCTCCTAAAACAGTCAGTCATCACTGTTGACCTCCCTCGGCTTTTATTACCGCTAATCATTTATTTAAGCTCAGTTTTTAAAACCTTAGGATGTAACTACAGCCCAGCCCATGCAACAGTATATGAATGACTAACCTCGTATTATGGATGGATTATCTCAGTTGTTCTCCTGGCTGAAGTTTGGTCCTTTTACAGCATCCTGCCATGCGATTACATTTGTTCCTGACCACCGAGAACACTCACGTTAACTTTTATCGAGTGGAAAAAAAGTTAGCTTGTTTATATTATGCTAACATAGCTGTGTCGCTAGCGGTCACGTAGCACATCATTATATACCAGCTAGCCAAACTTCAGTAACCCTACAAACGTCACTGCTGTTTAGTTTTCTGTCTTCATTTATGTTGGAAGTGATAACAGAGCTGTACGTTTTAATTTGTTTCCAAAACCCCGCAGTCAGGACATGCTATATTGTATTTAGATAGAAGCTAGCGAGCTAACTTCCTGCTAACTTCTAACTCCGTTAAATGTCATAAATTCCGTTTTCATGGATGCCTGGATGTTAAACTCAATTGTTACACCTGGTAGAGCAGAACGCTGATCATTTTATTAAAGATGAAAGACTTTAGACCGTTTTTCAACTCTCAGTAATGCCATAGTGATCGTTTGATATATGGAGCGGAGTTTAGGCCCAGACACGGCTAGTGACATCAGACTTAACGACCGGATAAAGTTTAAAGAGAAACAGGAACAAATAAAAAGCAATCCTGCCGCATAGTGCAAATTAATATCAGCTGGGTCAGTCCCAACTGATGCCTTTAAAGAAGTGCCTCGTTACCAAGGTATCAGACAAGAAACATCTTATTGTGGGTAAAACCAATGATCTCTCTCAAGACCTCACTGTTG